TCTCTCCCTTACCGCAGATTTGTAATGGGATTGCCGATGAATAAAACTTGTATTTGGTCGAAATAATTGATGGCACTACTTATATTCGGATTGAATAGATTTCGAAACGGCCGGGAGATTTTTATCACACTATCAACCTCAGTGTTCCTACTTGTCGTTGTCTTTCCTGCTAGAGTCAAAAGTACATTACATAAATTCGGAATGGGTAGGTCTTGAAACTTCCAATTGCTATTCATCACATTGTGCGACCTAGGGTGAATGTTACTCGAATTCGAGATATACTGGTAGATTTGAAGCCTGCTTAATCAGACTATTTCGTAATAAGTAAACTTCATTGATAATTCAATTCCTCTCAGCTATTTGACGAGTGTGGATATAGTAGGAAGGAATGAAATATATTGAGTGTAACATAAAAACGACATTATTAAGTGTATGAAAAGTATTAATAGTATTCGTCGTATTTGGAGCATAATAGAGCATGTGAAATATATCAATTGTACGTGAAAAAATTTTGGGAAGCAGGGTTAAGTGAAATGAGGCCTATTCATATAATATGCAACATAAGCTGAATGGAACCCTTTACTTCAAAGTCTACTCAAGTCAATCTTTATTGTAACACTTGATAAATTAGTGATAGTCTCACTCAACTAATCGGCATAAATATTGACGTATCCATAGGTTTTGGTTAACTACAAAACCGTCTATCGACCTATTTAGTCCGTCTCTGGATTGCCATGACTTTGTTCATTCACCGCTTCTACTAACTAGCTAATGGACGAAAATTAGCATTTATTCTTTCATTTGTTTTTTTTAATCGCCACAGAAGACACAAAAACATCCAAGTGGGGCAATTACAACACGACATGGACGACCACTTTCGTCCAAACTGTTGAATCTGTAGTTAATTCATCCGGCCTCCAGCCAATTCTCGACCAGAGTCCTAGAATCCTGTGTTTGCATCACACATACGTACACACGCACACATCTAAACATAAAAGTATATGTGCATACGTGACTATGAGTCAGTGATGTAGCCCTGGGCTAATCCGGTCAGTGAGTGCTTGTGAGGCAACGAATACGACTGTATACATTTGCATTTGTGTCTGCTTATTGAACTGATTTGTCAGAGACAAGTGAAGAGATGAATCGTTATCGTCTCTTCATGTCACTTGTAACCACTCCCTTGTGGCAGTCGCCAGCCCCACCTACAAAGGCTCCGTTGGCAATCCTGTGAAAATGCGCAACACACTAACGATCTCATCTCCTGCTCTCTCGCTCTGTCTCGTCCTGCCAATCTTCCAATAGATTTCGACGAGTCTAGCTATCGCGAGGAGCATCATTTTGCTGTCCCTGGGTCTGGGCGTCTTTGGCCTGCTTTTCAGGCTCCATTCGTCGCCTCGCCCAGTTTCTACCTATTGCCTGGCTGCTTCCTTCCTT